AAGAGAGGGTAAAGTAGACATTTGAGATTTTTAAATAATTAATTCTTTTTCCTTTTAAAAAATTTTGATCAAAGGCTATCTAAACAAAAAATCGTTGAGGGGCGGCCATTCCAACTCATTCCCATTTCACTTCATGTACGAAAAATTTCAACGCCAACTCTCCTCGTTCTCTTCTCTCTCTCATTCTCATGGCTTCTTCAATCTCGGGACTCTCTTCCTTAAGGTCGAATGCCGAAAATCTCACCCGTAAAACCCACCAAACAACCCTTTCACACACCCCATTTCGAAAGTCTACCAGATTCTGTCCGCAGCGAGTGGCGCGTGAGGTTCCTCCTACGACCCTCTCCAGCCCCAATCCCGCCAACGATGTTTTACTGAAGTCAATTAAGAAGCCCGAGCTCCAAAAGGATCCTCAGGAACTATGGCGGAGGTACATCGACTGGCTGTACCAGCACAAGGAGCTGGGTCTCTATCTAGACGTTAGCCGTGTTGGGTTCACTGACGATTTCTTCCAGGAAATGGAGCCTAGACTCCAGAAGGCGTTCAAGGACATGGATGAGTTGGAAAAGGGGGCGATTGCGAATCCGGACGAGGGCAGAATGGTGGGTCACTATTGGTTAAGGAACCCGAAGCTCGCTCCGAAAGCTTTCTTGAAGCTGCAGATCGAGAATACGTTAGAGCAAATCTGCCAGTTCGCTGACCAAATCATCAGCGGCAAGGTCAGTTACCCTTCTGTATCTGTTGCCGTTTCTTTTCTGTTGATTCTTCTTTCTCCTTTGTGCAATGGAAACCTAGCAAATGTTGGGCAACACAAATATACGCGTGCTTGTGAAAAATTTACAATATAACTTTGGAGGAGGAAAAAAATGATTCTCTGCCTAGTCTATATGTCTCAGTATAGATTGAAGTAATTTCTTGTATTTTTAACTTCAAATATTAACTCCTTAAAATCAGTATCAAATTGAGAAAACTGTGTGAAAAATTAGCCCATAAAATTTACAAAATTGAGAATACCAGGTTATCACCATTTCGTCAGGACATATTCAAAAATCTGGATCTTTAATTGTGTAAAGCATGTTAAAATAATTCTATTACGTGGCTTCCATTTGATTGCGAATTTTACGGGTTAGATGCATGGTTTGCAATGATACGTGTTTAGATCCAATATGTAAGTGATCACTTGACCGTTGTACACCTTATAGGCTCTATTATTATAATGTGGTAATTTTAAGTACGTGGGCCGGAATTATGTAAACCCTAATTAGGGTTAGAGTCGGTAATGAATCGACTTTATAATTTTCTATACATTGGCTAGGTCCCCTCTTCTCTCCATATCGTTTTGGTTTGCTCCATTGAGGACTCATTATTTTGAGATTTTGAGGAGCAAGGAGATGGAGATCTAGCTCGTAATATTTATACATAACAATGTCTTCCATAGGTATGAATTTTGAACTATCAATTAATATTTGTGATTCTTGTTCTTAGCATGATCATTGTCATATAACAACAAAGCAAACTTGTCAAATTACTGAATTGGACTAGATAATGTGAATGATTCACCCAAGGGATATTGGAATACCTTATCAAGTAGGAAACTTTTTAAACTGAAATGTTTTTTGTTGCATGTTAAATAGAAACCTAACGTTTTTTTCCTTGCATTACATAGTTTCACATGTATTTCAAAGAAAATGAGTCGCTGAGAATATGATGAAAACGGGATTTAACAAGTTGGGGACTGTTTTGATTCTAAGCAGCCTGGCTTCATTGAGAATTTGCTGAAAATAACGATTGATCCTAGCATAAGGGGACTGTTTTGTTCCTCAGTAGCCTGGCGTCGTTGAGAATCGCTTAGACATCCGTATCATTGTGATATTGAATAACAAGGGATGTTTGTATTCTGGTCAAAGATTGAGATTGTCTGTGGGTCGCTGAAAGTTTTGGTGAAAATTGTGATTGACCTAAGCCTACTTCTCAAGCAAAGAAATCAACTTTGGTCCTGCCTGGCTTAGCCCGTTATTTGAAGCAGACAAGTCATTTTATTTTTGTTCTATTCACAGACTAGCCCAAGAGCAGGAGAGACTGATTTTGGCCTAGTTACAACCACTGAAGAAGAAATTCTCATAATTAAAAAGGTTGCTGGGCCAAAAAACAGAATTGCTTCTTTTAAGTATCTGAGACAGAAAGATACTACTGCTGTTCTTGATATAATGTAAAAGAACGAGAGGCTTCTAATAATATGCACTCAGAAATGCATGGAAGTCAAAAGTGGAAGATTATGCATGTCTGGAGCCCTGATTTTGGGATTTTGTACCTAAAAAGTTTTGGTCTAGGCATGATAATTAGGTTCAATGGCTAACGCTACCCAAAATCGGATGACAAAACAACCCTTAATCAGCAAATAATAGAAGAGATTGAAAGAATAAAGGGCGGAGATGAAGTAAATAATCTATTTAGTTTTCTCAGTAAACCATGGTTTTCAGGGCTAGAAAAGATAAGTTCTTTAGCTATTCTATGTTGTGGAACTATGTGGCTTATTTATAGGCTCTTCACACATTGAGACTCCAAAACCTGTACTTGAAATAAATAGAAAATCTCCAAAGCCTAATGTAACTAAGAAAGTTTTAATTTATAGGAAAAAGTGCAAGAAATCTTAATACTCCCTCAATCTTATAAAGATAGGCTTGTTTATATTTTCAAAAAAATGTAATTAATATAGTTGAAAATATAATTTTTTATTACATTTTCCCTAATTATCCATACATTAAATAATTATTTAAGTGGGAGTACTTCATATTTGTTGATAACAAGACACATTAAATGAGTGCATATTAGAAAATTAAAAAGTCAACTATACTCTTAACAAGGAAAGTGGCCTATAATTTAGAAAAAATGAAAAAGGAAAGCAAGCGTGTCTTTATGGGATGTAGGGAGGAACTAGGAAAAAAATTCTAATTCTAGTTGTAACCTTAAGCCCTTGTTTGGTTACTATATTTTTGGAAAAAAATTGTTTTGAATAGTGAATTTTTGGAGAATGTGTGTTAAAAAGTAGGAAATTTTTTTTTGATTTACGTGTAGAATATTATATTGTACGAATGTGTGGTTGAAAATGAGTATATAAAAAAAGAATTTTGAAAGAATGGGAGGCAAACATGGACTAAAAGACTTCATAAGAGTTAAAATAAAACTTGACCTAGGAATACTAATGCAACAAAGATTTGGAAAAGTTGAACTCTTGCTACTGTATCAACTTTACATCTCTAACATGTGTATGAATTATATGCTCGTAAATTTCAAGCACAATCGCTAGATTCATGACCAATTTCCTTAATGAATTTTGTGAGGTTGGTATGATGTCTAAGTGGTCACTTAGATACGGGGCGAACCCAATGCGTGTTAGAGATGTTGGAAAATTGGTCTTGGCCTCTTAGCTCCTTCATGTAGGTTGACTCAATCTATATGCTTTAATATGAGTTGGAAGGATTAGTTTTGCGGCGAGGGTTGTGTGTATGGAAGGTTGAACCGTTTCAGTTGTTTTTTCTTGAAAACGTAAAGGACAGCAAATCATTTGGACGCAATAATTAAGAACGCCTTGTTTTCCTAACGTTTCAAAAAACATACCTCTTCAGAGTCAATACATTACAATCTCAGCAAATGACATAAGGACTCTTCAGCTCCAACATGAATAGCTTCGGCAAAGGCCTAAGCTGTTCCAAATCATCTCTTCGGGGTAAACGACTTCGGCTAAACGGACCTCAGCTGACCCTTTTCAACCTTTTTCAAAAAATGAACAGATTCGAAGTACACAGCTTTAGACAACAAGAACTTTACCTCCATCTTTAAAATTTCAGTAAATCACAAGGCGAAGGTTTTCACTATTTTAAAAATCTAGACAACATCCGCGAAGTACTTTACGTAAATCCTAAATTTCGTCGTTCTACTTTCAAATTCTAATTATAATATAAATATTTATATTTAGATTTGGGGATTATTGTGTTGTTGTAAAACTAACCACTACATGAATATAACCACCCAACAAAAATCTGGATAAGAGAAGTCCATGCATCATATGAATAATTTTGCATAAATTTGGGGTACTATTGTTACGTCTCGCCACCGAGGCTCCAGACTAAGATTATGTGGTAGTCCACGTAGAGATATAAGTCAAGTCGATAAAGTTAACGATGACCTCGATTGGATAGAGTGGCAGGGGAAAGGAATGGCGAAGTCAAAGAAAAGATTTTGAAGCTCTCCATTGCGAAGATCTCCATTCCTTAGCTCCCTTTGGCCGAAGCCATCGTGGCTCTCAGATGATTTGCAGGTAATTTTTAGGAATGATTGATGTGACGTTTGTAATAATGAATGCCAAGTTTGTCAATTGAGGACGTAAGGTGGTTGACCCGTTGTCAATGTATTAAATGTGTAGTAGGCTAGTGATGTGATACTTCAACATGAGAGATGAGGTCACGTGGTTCTTATCCAATAGTCACCACTTCGACCATAATTCTATATATAGCAACTCTTGTAATATTTTAATCTAATGCAACTCTTTACACTTAAAAGCCATCTTCAATATTCTCTAGCTTATTTCACATTCTTGTTTCCTTGATTTTAGATCATCTTGTTTTGATTGAGTTGCTTATAGTTGATGATTTATAAACAACCACATTTAAACATGCCGTTGTTGTCTGAACATTTTTGTCTAGCATGTTAAAGCATCTCCTACGTTCATATATAGCGACACCGTCCTACCAAGTCTTCGGTCAAAGCATGTTGGAACTTGCTCGCATGAACGCGAGTGAGCCCAACATAGGTTGTCCACGCCATCTTTGCAAAAAGTGAGGTCAATAGTTCTCCTCGGTGACTGTTAAATAGTTGAATGATTTTTGTCTCATTTTTACTTTCTTTCCGCACTTAATTATTAATTGGTTGCAGAAGAAATATAGAATTATATTCTGGCAATCCCTTCTTTCTACAGGATATCCAGTGCTAATTGAATTTGAACATGCTCGGGAGTGATGTTTGAGTTATTTTTAAGCTTCCAAGATGCGTTACGCAAAATTACACCTTTGGTTTAGATTTAAGATTTAAGAAAAGTTTTTGTTGCTTTATAAATTTATTTTGTTCACCCTGAAAGTCTTCCATTCCTTTCCTCTCTACCTGAAATTGTAATGTTTATGCTACAGATTAAACCTCCTCATCCATCAGATCGGTTTACACAAATACTTTCTATTGGAATTGGTGGTTCAGCTCTTGGACCTCAGTTTGTCGCAGAGGCGTTGGCTCCTGATAATCCTCCTCTCAAGGTAGATAAAAACTTTAAACTGAAAATGATGATATTGACAATCTAGTTCTCATGCTTTGAGAATTAGTTTTCTTTTTCTTGGACAGAGCTTGTTTTCCTATATGGCCTGTAGTTTAGCTTTGGTGTCTTACTCAAATTTCCATGTATTTTATGCTACTGTTGAGATCTGATCACAAGCAACTGATTTCTCTTTTAACATTTAGTGAATCAATCAAGTAAATTTACTTGACTAACTCACATATCTTATTGTTTTAGTATTTATTACCTATTGAAAGAAAAGTACTCCAGAAACATTTGCTTACGTTTCTTGCTACAAGTTCTAGTAATTTTGATTAATGTTGTGATAGATGGTTACTAGGTTTTTGTTTATATACATCTTAGAAGTTTGTAAGACTGTTATTAAAGGGATGCAGGCTTAACATGTTGCGATAAATTTGGCCCATGTTTGGTTCTGATTAAAATTTAGATTTTAATCAAAGTCAAAGTCAACAATTCATTTAAACCACATATTTTATGGATCCCAAAACATTTCTACCACATATTTCATCAACTTCTATCGAAATCTACCGAAATTCTAATTTTAATCCCCTAGATTTTAATCCCCACCAAACAAGAGCTTGATTGAAAGTGGCCCAAATGCTCCTCTCTAGCACACATTTTGATTTTGAGAGAAAAGACTGGTGTTTTTTTAATTAAATTGTTTACTGCCAGCTCGCGGGATCTTCATATCATTTCACAGTGGGGATCTCGAATAGCTAGTGTTTTGCATACTGGTTGATTCTATCAGATTTGTGTCATCACATTTGCAGATAAGATTCATTGACAATACAGATCCAGCTGGCATTGATCATCAAATTGCACAGCTTGGCCCTGAGCTAGCTTCTACACTTGTCATAGTCATATCGAAGGTATTCAAGGCCATAACTTCTCTATTTGGTATTTTATTCGTGGGATTTATGATACATAACTGATACCTTCATTTTGCCTAGAGTGGAGGTACTCCGGAGACTAGAAATGGTTTGCTGGAAGTTCAAAAGGCCTTTCGAGAAGCTGGTCTGGATTTTGCAAAACAGGTTTTGGTTTTCAGGTTCTTCTTTCTGCTTTATTTAATTTCCTTGTTGGCTTACACATCTTTCATGATTTTTTTTTGATAATGGTTACTTCTATATATGGAGATAACTAATTTTTGATAGATTGGAAGTGTAATATGCTGCTGACTGGTTTTCATACATAGGGTGTTGCAATTACGCAAGAGAATTCGTTACTTGACAACACAGCACGAATTGAGGGCTGGTTAGCTAGATTTCCTATGTTTGACTGGGTGGGTGGTAGAACATCTGAGATGTCTTCTGTTGGTTTACTACCAGCCGCACTTCAGGTTTGTAATTTTTAAACTAAGAAGCTTATTCATCTTTTATTCCATGAAAGTTTTCGCCTAATAGATATGGTGTTTTACCTTTTCATCTGCATATGCATTATTCTTACTCCAGGGAATTGATGTTAAAGAAATGCTTGCTGGTGCAGCATTGATGGATGAAGCAAATAGGAACTCAGCGGTATGACTATTTCTGTATTATTTTGAAGTGAATTTAGTAAATCGCCTTTTGTAGATTGTGCTTTTCTTACATCCTTGGCTATGCTGTGCTTAGATATATATAAGCCTATTTGACTCGTTTTTGTAAACTGTTTATAAAGTCACCTTTTGCCTACACGTTTCAAGGACCCACAAGCACTACCCACTTATCCGCTACGCATTTCTATATATTTATAATTTAAACCGTTTATAAACACTTTCAAA